CCGCTAGAACAGAAACACAGCAAGCAGACAGGCAGAACCCGCCCCCGGCCCATTGCCGTTTACCCCTCCTGCCCCACACAGTCAACAAACCGTCGCATGAAAAAGTCATCAAGTCCAACGAAAAGACAACCTTCCGAACGGACACACAAGGGTAGATACAGCTCAAGGAACAGACCCCACCGAATGATTGCGGGTACATAAAAATATACCCGTGAAACCGTATCTACATGTGCCACGTTTGTGTCGCGTTCACACGAACAAAAAAAACGCTATTCCGCGGCGGGCGGCCTCTTTTTCGTTCCACCGACTCACACGGAGAAGCTGTTAGCCTGACTCACGCACGCCAACCACCGGAGCACAAGCGCTGCATGCACGGTGGCACAACCTCCTCGACTCTCCCCCCCCCCCCTATCTCACACACGTACCTTGGTCCCTGCCCCCCACCCCGAAGCGGCCGCCGCCGGTTGGGTGTCCGCCGTCGCCGAGTGCTTATCCCACCAGCTGCTCCCGCCCCCGCCGGCTGGGGGCGCCTTGAACGACCCGGTCCCCGAAGAGGCTCCCGCCATCCCGCCGCCCCCGCTCGACCCGCCCGTTAACCACGGGGCCGACGCCGACGGGACGTACGCGGAGGCCGGGCTTCGGTCTGGCGAGTCGTCGCCCCCGGCCCTCGTCGAAGCGTCCTTGATTGCACCGCTCATACCGGACATGTTGGACAACCTTGGTGGGAGTTTTTTTTTTGGGGGGGGGGGAGGACAGAAGCGTACGTACACACACACGGGATGAAGTAAAATAGGGTTGTTTTCAAAGTATTGTTCTTGGTTCATCCTACTGCCTGTCAACCTTGGGGGTTTCTTGAGGCTGACACTTTTTGGTGTGGGAAACAGGGGGAGAGAGAGGATGGCGTCCAAAAGAGCCGAAAATTGCCTGTCGAAGGCCTTCAGAAAACAATGAGACGCGACTTTGAAAGGCTGCCTACCAACAACCACGATCTACGAAGAGCTTTGTGCTTGGTGCTGTGGCCGGCCTGTCGGGAGCACTGCTGTCTGGCGTGTGCCTTAGAGGCGCCTCTCTGTCTCTCTTCCTCCCTCTCCTGTTGTGCGCACGCGCTCGTTTCGGCAGGAGCAAAAGCAACAACATTGAAATGACCTTTCGATCGCCCATCTCCGCCATGCCCTTTTTCAGCAGCAACAAACATCACCGCCGCAGGGAAAGGTGCCAGAATCCACTAGCCAGGACACGGATAGAACATGAGGGCGCCACGAAAACGCGTGCGTGCCTGCAAATAAACCTAGACATGCGGCACCGATTCTGGCAAGTAGGACCGGGACAAGCTGATCACCCCGCTAGAAACGGCTGCCGCGGTCACTAGGAATAATCTTACCCGCCGCCCCCCGATGATCCGTACTCGCTCGCCGGCAGGGTGAAAGGGGCGTTCATGCCGTCCTTTCCCACGGACTCGATCTCTCTCGCCACCTCCTGCGGGTCGCGCGCGGGGACCCCTTTCACCTACGAACGCGCGTTGCGTACGGGGGTGAGGGCGAGGGGCGGGGGTCGGTCGACTCGCTTCCATTCCCCACCACCGACTCAACAAAAAGCCACCGACTCAACAAAAAGGGACTGTCTGGGATATGAGGAAAAAGTCGAAATTTCGCGACACTTTCATCCAGTTCCAAGAGGCTGAAACAGGACAAAAACACGGCGTCTGCGCTTCGTCGGAGGTGTGTTGCGTGTACGCGTGGCGCGCAAGCAACGTCGCACTCGCTCGCCGCCCAACTACCGAGACAAGGCGGAAACACATTCAAACAAGACAACGCACGGACCGAACGAAACAGCACCGACCAACATCTGTCTGTCCTAGGCCTTCTTAGATGGTGTTATAGATGGATAGCAACGAACGTTTGTAGAACCTGTCCTCGAGCGAGTCTCACAAGATTTGGCAAAAGACATCTCCACACACCCGCGCATCCATACCTCACATAGCACGGCGTGTGCCATGTCGTAACACGCGCTTGTATGCACACGGGCATGTGCCAACATTCACTAATGCTTTTTCACATACCACGGCGTGTGCCACGCCGTAAAACGCGCTTCCACGTACATGTGCATGTGCCAACATACACCCATACAAAGCCCAACAAGAAAGAATGCCGTCGTGAGGCGAATGACATTCCGCAAATGCCCACGCGAGCGCGCAAAAAAGAAAAAACGCGCCTTACCACCGAAAAGGCAGACCCGAAGAAGCCCTGCTGCGCCTGCTTGAGCATCTCAATCTCCGGCTGGCACAGGGTGCCGCCAACGGCGTCGTAGTACCCGAAGCCCTTGTACAGCTTGCCCGTCGCCTCCTGGAGCCGCTGCCGCGCAGCCGTCAGCTTGGCCTCGTTGTTGGACAGCTTCGCCGCGTCCGAGCCGGGCTTTTCTTTCAGATCTCTCACCTGCGCACAATTCAAATACCACGTTGCAGCAATTAATGCGCCAACTTTTTGTCAAAAAAACGAGAAGGTTAAGTCGTCCGTCCGTCCGTATCTGACTTTTGAAAGCGGAAAACAGGCGCGTTCCACAATTTTCACGGTAAATCGAAAAAAAGAAACGGCACGCCAGTATTCCAACCCTCCTCCGCCATGAAAAAGGTGTACCACTCGCCTTCCACCACCCCCTCCTCCCATCGTGACATACTATTATATTACCAGTAGCCTTCGCGAGGGTATTTATCTTGGTTTTAGTAGGGGGTACGGGGTGGGGTTGAGGGTTAGCGATAGGGTTAGGGATACGAAACCCCCCTCTCTATTTCATAGAGTAATGATAAAATCCTCGCAAAACGGCGGCCCAAACACCGCTGCACCTTGCGCATGTAGTGGTCGTAGTCGAGCTTGAGCTTGTTCCGGGACATGATCATCTTGTCCAACTCAGCGAAGGGCGCCATCTTGTTCTCCAGCGACTCGACCGCCTTCGCCACGGCCGCGTCCAGCTGCTTCCTCATGTCCTCGTCCAGCTGGAACTGGGCGTTCTGGAACCCCACGTCTCGCAGCCCCACCTCCGAGCACGCGTTCCCGAGGTCCGCGCACGCCAGGCACAGCGCCCGGGAGCAGTCCAGCTGCCTCTTCATCGCGTCCCGCACCTTGCCCACCTACAGTCATTGGCGTTGACGTGTTGTGCGGTATTTGTGTGTGTTTTGGGGGTTGTTGTGACAGGATTCGAGGGGGGGGGGGGGGCAGCAGACACCCTACCGGCGCGCGTGTGTTTGTGCTCGCTGTATATTCGGCCGGCGTCGACCGCACGAAAACTGGCTAACCAGTGGAAAACCGCGGATTAAGCGGGACCCAAACTGCGACAAGTTCTCTAAGTAGAGTCCCCCGGCTTCCCCGATACTGTGTGGGGGGCGGCGGCCGGAGGAGGTTGAGCGAAAGGGTACATAAAGTATTACAGCCTCTGGGATCCAGGATGTTTGTATCAAAGGAAAACAGGCCCATGACGCATTTCTCCTGTACCACATGCCGCTATTCGTGACGATGTGCTCCCGCAGCATTGCTGGTTGTATCCCGTGCGTGCTTATCTGCCTAGTACATCAACCGCGCTAACCAGCAAGCCAATGAAGTGACACTTGTCTCAGTAGCGTTCAAAGTAGGCGACAACAAGCGCGGTGCGCGAATCATCTTTCTCAGCACAACTGCCACTTTTTCGGGCCGAGCGCTTCGCCAGTACTTCTTGTGAGTCCGCTGTGAGGGGGACGCAGGGTCATCCGTACCGTCGGGCCCTCAACTTCACCCCTAGGTTTCTGTCTCTCACGACCTCACCAGTCCACCCAAGGACGGCGACCACAAAAAAAAACAAAAAAAACTCGAACCTGTGCCCAACATATATGCGTCCACACCTTTGAAAAGCCCCAACAAGGAACACAAAACGCGGACAACACACGCCGGTCCACAACCCTCCCTTCCTCCCCACCTTCTCCTTCAAGTCTGCCACCCTCTGCGACCGCTCCTCGAACTCCGAGTTATCCACCGCCTCTTTCCCAGTCTTCTGGGCGATGTTCTCCTTCAGCCGCCGCCGCCCCGTGCTGAACTTGTCGATGATTCCCCCCTTCCCGCCCGCCGGGTCCGCGCCACCTACGTACGTACAGACAGACACACGCCGCGTCCCGTGCGTGCGAAACGAGAAAACGAGATGAAAAACTGCTTTAAAACTTTTGGAAATAATCACGTGGGTGTTCACAGATTGGGAATTTACATCGCCCTTGACGCGCTCGTTGTGACCAGGAGGCAACCCCCTGGGCGGGGGGGGGGAGGGTACCACAAAAAAAATGTGCGCACCCCCTCACCGACTGACCAATGACAAGACGTCAACCCTGGCGTGTGTGCGGGCTTGGTTGGGTGTGGAGAACACGGCCAAGGGCAATGCTGTTCTGTTGTTGGTCGAATGATGCTCGGAGGCCTGTTCGTGCCTGTTCGATCATCACCCGGTGCCATGCTGATGCTAAGTTGAGAGTTGCAAGTTTTGACCTTCTGCGCTTCTCTCTTGGGTTAGTCTTCCTACTTCCTATTTAGTACCCAGTCTCTCCGCATAAAAAATGTCGCAAAAATGATTGTCAGATGTTGGTCGAGGGGCTACAGTCCCTCCAAAGAATCTGAGCTCCTTGCTAGACAAAGAGTGACTTGGCTTCAGTATGAAAAGTGTCCCCAAAACACGTGTTTTGGGGACACTTTTCATACAAATGAAGCCAAAAACTGCAAATTTTTCCAGTACCAGGCGATGTACACCAGCTTTACGATCTAGGGGACACGCGGGTTGGGAGATGGTGTACAGCAAGTCAGAGGCCGAGGAGAGGCATCACACAGCATATCACACAGCGTGCCACGTCACACAAGCATGATAGACCAAGAGTTCTCACGTGCGTTTCACACAGCGGAGCCTAGGGTGACTAAAGGTGTGGTGAACAGAATTTTTGAGCGCTGTGTCCCCAAAGTGTCCCCATGTAGGCTTCCAGTACTACATAGGAGGGTTAAGTTATTACAATCCCCTGCTGTCCTGTCGCAACGATTTGTTTCTGGATTAATCGACCAAAGACCAAAGACAAACAAAAAACAAGGGCGTCAATTATTCGTTACCCGTTGCGGGAGAACATTTATTAGCGGGACAACCGACATCGGGTGAGCAAGCAGACTCTCCAGACCGAACGCCGCACGCTCATGTTCCAAACATGAAGTATTTTCCAAACACGAAGTGTTTATCCATGCTCGCTGATTCCTTTTCCCTTCATTCGCACCAAACCCAGCAAATGCTGCCCCATCCGAAGGTCGAAAGCAAGGGATACACGAAAACCGCGCCAACGCGAGAAATCTGTGTACATCTCATACCAAACATAAAAATTGGACCGCCTCGCTGCTTGCTGACGGACACGGGGTTTGTTTTAGGTAAGACGAACAACTTGGGCCAACGATCGCTGAGCTCTAGGCTGTCAAGTCGCATCCTCTAAGCAGAGATTGGCGTCATGACCGTCGGCAAGAACTTCGACCCAGCCCCCGCGAGCGTAACGGAGCAAGTCTACTGCGGCACCGGAGAGGTGGTGCGCCCATGCGGCGCGGTGGAGCGCGTTAGCGACCATGAAAATGTGGCCGTTTCAAATAAATGAATCCTTCTTTTTGTAGAAAACGGAGTTGGTGTCCTCGACAGAGATGTTTCCGGTGCCCGTGCTCGATCTACACAAGGATGCTTTCGCCAACAGGGCAGCCCATGAAGCACTTGCGGCCAATTTCCGTGCCTTTGTTTCAGAAGAACGGGTTGCGCGGCTGCTACACGCGCGAAGGGTTTGTGGTACAGCAGGGCATGCCTGGGTGCTCATAGGGGATGTGTACAGAACGCGTAGGCTACACCGGCAACAGACTCCCGGGCTTGGTTTGACTGACCCCTGGCATCCCCTCGGTGCAGAGAGAGAGAGAGCACAGCAGAAGAACACACATTATTCCTGCTTCCGACTCTCAACGGCCGCCATCATCACAGGAGCTGTCGGGCGGACCAAGTATTTCATTCGGAGTCTGGTTAGCGTAGGAAATACAAACATCTCGTCGAGACGCTGTAGGTATTGGCATGCTTTAAGGTGTGCGGCAGAGCGCGGCTCGACCTCTGAAATAGAGACAGCACATGTCAAGAAGGCGGCAGGCTTGGCGAACCGCTTTATCCCTAGGTCCAGATAAATAGTTGATGTTGAGGCGAGAGCAACCTCCTGCTGCTGAGTCTCGGCGCGCGGACCAATGTATTTGACCAACATCGACTATATTTCTTCTCTGCATCGTTCGTTCGTCGCGCAACAGCAGTTCGCGCTTGCTCTTTGACCTCATCGGGTGGTCCAAAATCACACTACTTAACATTCACAAGCACCGGAGTTTTTCGACTCACTGCTGCTGCTGCTGTGCAATGCTTCTTATCTCACCTCCCACATCCAGTCCGGCGTAGTTTGGCGTAGCCTCTCCCTTGGGAGAAGTTGGCGCCTCCTCCTCAGTGTTTTTCTCCTTGGAGCTCTTCTTCTTAAACATGCTCTTGGTACGGTCGTATCCCGGACGTCCGTTACCTCGTCCTTTTCTACTCCCGCTGCCGCGCTTTTTGTTGTCTGGCCTCTATCACGCCCACCCCCCGCGTGTTCTCTCCGACTCTGGAGCCCACAGCGCCCAAGGCCAAAGCGGCCGTTTTCGAGGTTGGAAACCCTCCTGCTCGGCGTTATAACTCAGGGTGAATCTGGTTCGTGAAACGAAACATTTATTATTGCACCGCTTCCGCCTCACGATGTCACTGCTGTCACGCTGGTCGCTGGTCTGCTGGATGCTGGGTGGTCTGAACGCATGGTAGATTGTCAAGCGGGAGAATTAGATTAACCGTGATCCTCTCAATTTCACGCTGCGCTATCAGTGACTTGCCAGCTGTTGGATCAACAAATTATTGGCAGACCGCTCCTTTTCCGGCCGTCGATCACTCCAAAAGTAGACCGTGCCAAGCCAAAAGAGATTATCTAGTGACGGCGAATAACAGGAACGAAAATGTTGCTAGGCAGTTGTTCTGCGCCCCTTGCATCACCGACTCAGCTCGGTTACCCCTCCTGGTGCTATAGAGAAGGTTACAGCAGTAGTCCTAGTCAACTGGCCTTGAGGAGTGCTTGGCGGGGGGGGGGTAGGCTGGACCGCGGGTAGATACTCCATCAGGTGACCGAGGTGACCAAGGTCACCGATGTCTACACCTGACGATGAAGAGGCCGACTTCACCAACCAGCTCAAGGTGAGCCGGCGTACAGGAGTAGAACATACCTTCACCGCAAGAACGAACACTGGTAGCGGCTGAGTAGATTCGGTGCTCTCTCTCAAGTAGTAGGCGATGATGGATGTGTCCTTGACTATGTAGTAATGTAGTGCGTGAAGGGAAGTGTAACATCTTGACTTGCATCTCCATTTTCCAGCACTACTAATAGTTTCCATTAGTTTCGAAGAGACACCTCTGTGTGGATATGAACGCGGGTGGGTTTGAAATCACCCACATGACAAAACTATGGATGGTAATGCACAAGCCGACGACCAACCATCGCAATGGCACGACATACGGCATCATGAGATCGATCACCGGGGGTATGCGTGAAGGGAAGGAGTGCCTTTTCCATACAGCAGACTGCTGTAGTACTTTTAGTCCTTCTGTTCTCCCTGTGGGCACAGCATCAGTGAGTGTTTCGTGCTCGCCCCAAAAGCTCATGTTGTTTGTAGCTGTCAACCATCCGATTCGCTGGGTTCAGGTTTGAGATGCACAACCAACACCACCACCACACGAAATCGCACATCCCTCCGCAAATGGGTATCGTCGTCGTTGTTGGCGTCCTCGTCGTGTTTTATCGTGGATTTTGTCGCGCGGAGTGTTTTAAAAGTATGCAAGTATGCATATCATATGCATCAATGATCCTTTTTTTTTTTTCTTAATATGACACAACGAAACCATCTCTTATCACTTTTGTGTGGATTGCTTTCTGGAAGGGGTCCATGCTGTGTCAGTGTTGCTATGTGTGCCGAAAGCATCCAGACATTGTCGAAAAGAAGAGAACGTCATAAAGCCGATACATCATTGTAGCCAATGAGCGAAACACGAAATAATACTCACAATCTTGCCGCATCCTTCAGCAAACTGCTTTACTGCTGCAACCTGAGCGAGCACCTCGCCGAATCCTTTCACCAACCACGACCGCTCTTCAATTCTGTACCTTTTCACGTTTCCGTTCATCGTGATATTGTAGGATATGTTGTGCCGCATATCATACCCATCAGGTATTAACGTGTTTCACCATTAATATGTAACACATCGGATAATCTACAGCAGTGAAGTTTGTGCTTGGCACGTCGGCACTCACTCCTGTTTACGCCCTCAACGCGCCATTACTCTTGTATCCGGCACTGCTGCTGCTGCTTTTGCTTCTGCTACTGCCGTTACCAAACAGAGTGGCGTTCCGGTCATGCTACACGTGAAGGTTGGGAAGCTCGAACCAGGGTCGATTCAGCTCGTGGATGAGGAGAACGAGAAGCTCGTCATCAAGACTCTCAGGTGCGAATCATGGAATCGCACGCTATGTATTTGATCAAGAAGGCGAAAAGGTGAAAGAAGACAAGGCTGAAAACCACCTCACCTGGTAAACCGTGGAAGACGTCGATACGACATCTGAACGCTGGTCGGTGGAGTGGTCTCCTCTCCTATGTACACTCTTTCCGATGTTTTTGTCGCTCCTTTGATGATAATTCCACAACGGGTGCTGCTCTCCAGTCAAGACAGTTCACTTTCGTACTACAGATTCGCAAAGAGGATACGGGCAGACTCACGTAGATATGTGTTACAACACCGAAGTATGTTCTAACTAAATTTAGACTGGAGACGCGATTCCTGTTCCCGAGGCTTTATCGTTCCTCTGAACGGCTCCAGCGTTGGATCTCCTTCACCAACAAATGGTATACATGGAGGTTAGGGGGAAGCTCGCCCGCCCCACCCCCCCCCCCGCTCTTCAAGGCTGTTGGTGGGATGAATAGGATGAAGAGCAACCACGGAAGGGATAGCGGAAGACGGGCATACACCCTAATGTTTCCCGTGACAACATATGCTTCGCAGGCAAAGCCAGAGACAGCAACGAATTTACTGGAAGTCCCTTGTTCGGTGTAGAGTTTTTGCTAAAACAAAGACGGTTCAACAACAGCTTGCCGCATCGCCGACCTGACGACGATGCGACCCACGGCACTGTTGCAGGGAGGGATGGTGCTCCTGGTGCTACTGCTACAACAGGCGCTACGAGCTCAGCCCGGGGCAGCTGGAACCTGTCGAGAATAGGACGCACACCATGAGACTCAACCGATCGACGGTTCTCCTGAACGGCGGTGAGCGACGAGTGTCGTAGTATGCCTTCCAGGAGGGGGTGGTCCGCCTCGAGGATGCGTAAGCAACCCTTACAACACTGCCTCTTCCTTTCGTCTTGGTCTAACGTATGCAGCTTGTCCCATCTAGAGGGAGCACGCTTGTGCCAACTACAACACCAGTGCCGTAGGTGGCACGTGATATCACACTCCCTGGACTGATTTTGAAGCCTCCACTTATCCACAGCAGAAAGAGAGTGGCGACGCAGAAAATGGCGGTGTTGGGACCGTCTCGTCGAAGACTTCATGATGTCGTTCGGATTGGGCATCTTCTTCGTAGTCGTGGAGTAGTCGAGCTCCTGAAAATCGGTGCAGGGGGTGTGATATCTTGCGTCACCTGCGGCAGCCGGAGTGTGCATGATGCTAACACTGCTGTCAATGAGCACCCCCCTCTGCACTCCTACCAATAGACGTAGGCAATGCCTACCGCAAATTGTGCCAGTGATCCACGCCCCCTTAGACCGACTTTGCTATTTACTCGATTGCTCCACGACGAAGAGGACGCGAAAGCCCGTCGATAGGCAGAAGGCAAGCCCTCGACAAGATACTCTCAAAGCCACCCTTTCGGCGGTGGTTCCCCCTCGGTCCTGGAGTATTAGAACTATGAGAGTCTGTCTTAAGGGGGCGTGCGATCACCCCCCACAAATCCGGCAGTCCGATCGCTGGCGGTAGGAGTAATAATGAAGCGCTTGGGTCTGTCTTTTGTGTCGGGTGTGCCTGTAGCACTCTGTTTAGGTTACGCGCCATTTGCGCCCTCCTCCTCTCCCGCATCCTCCAACGTTCTTCGTCTCGTAACTGTTGTTGTAACCCGCTGTCCATTTTCCCCCCAACCGCAGCCTGGGTCGGTGAAAACACGTCGTCCCGTCGTAGCGAAGCTATTTTCACCACGCACAATTTTGAGTGCCCTCCCACCCGCCGCCGCCGCCTGTCATTGTTGTCGTCCATGATGAAACACTTGGTGGAATAGGTGACTCCCACAACACCGCCAGCATGCTCCGCCGCAGCCTTAGCCTCCTTCGCCGCCACCCCCACCCGGAGTCAATCGACCTCACGTTCGCCACACCCAAGCTGGAAGAGAGCTTGAGGCTTTGGGTGCACAAGAGACTGGCAGTCGTCAAGTAAGCCTGAGCGAACACGAAATACTAATACTGGCAAGCACGATACACGGGAGAAAAAACGCCAACGGAACAGGCTTGCAGACAATCAACTTCTAGGCGTAGAAGAGACGACCAGAAACCGGAGTGGACATTCACGCGCTCGAGACCAGATACGAGAGTTTTCATGCATGCAGCTGGAAATGTAATTTCGCCTCCGTCCGTCCGGGCTCTGCAAAACGCCCACCAGGTCACCTGTAACAACCAACAGACATTTTCGACACCCCCACTCGCGCTTACGAAAACAGCAATCGCCGTCTGGAACCTTCCTCGCCCTGTACTACCGTCCCCCCCCCCCTCCTCCCTTCTCATCTCCGCGCCTCCCGTTTGGTTAGCCGGGACGCCAATCAACCCATGACATGTCTGGTGTGCTGCAGCAAACGCAAGGGCTTCTGATCTATCCTTGTGAAACGTAGCTTGGGCCGGCGAAAACCCGGCATATCGCTCCGTCCTGGCTTCGTAGAGATGCGAGGTCAATACTCTTAACGATTACGACATGCGTTTACACCCCCTCCCCCCCGGTGCCCCCCGGTGCCCCCACCGAACCGCCCACCACAACACGGAAAAAAAAAACATGGAGCAGTCCAGCATCATCGCTTCCCCGCGAAAGCAGCAAGAGGGTCGTGCAGGCCCTCCAGGGTCTCCGCCCTTCCGAGGACTCTGACGTGGAGACGGCGTACTCGGAGGAACAGCCAACCCCGAGGGATCTCCGGCGCAGCGGCAGCGCCAAGATCTGGCCAGCACAGGGGCACCTGGTCAAGCGACAGAGCTCTCGGAAGGCATTCAAGTCCGAGTCGGAGCAGTGGGACCGACGACCCAGCGCCAGGAGCGTGGGCTCCACGATCCCCGAGGGAAAGGGTTCCGGTAGCAGCGGCGGCGAGGACGGCGGCGGAGCCAGCGACGGCAGCGACAAGGCCGCGTGGGCGTGGAAGGCGCCACCCGTGCTGCGCAGGCTGAGCGTCAGCAGCAACAGGTCGTCGCGAGGTGGGGGAGGGGGGGGGGGGAGGGGGCCC